CAATAGTGGTATGCTCGGTTTGCACGGAAAAAATCCGCCTCCTGGTACATGGTTTCTATCCTGGAACTTTATCGGGAATACTTCAGGATAGGGTCCCTTTGTTGGTTTTTCATTAAAAATTTTTTGTTTTTCTTAGTTAGCCTGCCTCGTTAGTCCAGGCCTCGCTTAGGTTTATTTGTTTCACTCTTTTTTAAAATCGGCCATATCGGTCATATTTTTTTCGTTTGGGTATAATCGTAACAAATTGGTCTATGGCGGTACAGTTTTCTTCAGATATCATCATTTTCGTTGTGATATTTTCGACGTTTATTTCACCGACTATTGTTTCAATAGATGTTCTTGCGGTGTTTCGTCTGTTGAAGATGTTGTGGTCAGCGTTGAATTCGTCTGCATCTCCGTATATGCACTTCGGATCATTTGCTTTGTCAATGCGGAAAAGGTGTTTTTGAAAATATTCATGACCAAAAAGGAATTAAGTTAAGTAATAGTTTACTTCGCCAGTGTTCCTGACTGATCATTTCGCCTTTTGTTTCTGCATCCATCTTTGTTGCCATAGTTGTTGAATTTGTAGTTTTATTTCTAGATCATTTAACGTTGCATTTTGGTGGTACTTATCTTGCCACCGTATTTCCCTTTCTTTGGCTGCTAGATCTATAGATAATGTACCACTGATGACAAGTACCGCTGCCTTAGATACCGTACGGTATGTTGAAGCAACTTTTAGGGCTGCCGTTCGTTATCTTACGTTTCTACTTTCAGCGAATCGGTCCATATTTCGCTTCCGTAGAGTAGAACAGAGTTGGTTGTTGACATTAGCAATTTCCGTTTGCTCTGCGTTGGACCGCCAACGATTCCCAATAGTCTACTCAGCGATGCAGTACCTTGTGTTGCTGTGCTTGCAGCTTGTTAGATTTGTGGTCAGAACCCAGTTGGAATCCAAGTTCAATCCTAAGTATTTTAATTTAACATATTATGTTTGGATATGTCAGGGTTGAAGTTAGTTATATAGGAGAGTAGAGGCCAGATGTTTTTAAGATATTGGTGAGGCAAGAATTTCGAAGGGATTTGAGTTATTTAATACGGTTTTATTTTCATATGCCTTATTTTAATAAACTTGTTAAACTTTGTAAGCTTAAGAACTAAAAATAATGCGATGCTGACATAGACAATTTTTTGAAGTAAAAAATCAACAACAATGATTTGTTGGCAGCGTTAGATTGAACTGCATGTTCTGGTTAATGTAATAATATAAACTAATGAAAAAGTTTATTATCTATTCACATACATCATTGGCTTGCAGTTGATAACTTCACCGATTAGTAATGCATATATGCCAATTTAATAAAAAAATATCCATCAAATTATCTAAAAACATTATTTCCTTATTCTTTTTCAGCAAGTAAGATCCACTTTTACCTTCTTATGCAATTTTAATTACATTGGAAGTGCACGTGCATGTACCGTGGAAAGTGCACTACACGTGTGCTGCCAATTACAATGGTCCGATTACAAATTTTAATGTATGAATTCATGAATTCAAAACTGAAATACGAATATAGTGTTATATTAGAAAGCACTATAAATCTTTTCGCAAAGCAAACACTACACAAATAACGTACAAATGTACATATTTTTTTAGTTTCATTTAAATTTGACTATGGAAGACGAGCCATAAATCAATAGAATTTATTATTACACATGCATGATTAATGTAAAGGGTTTCAAATATTTTATATGATGAAAAAAAATATTTTAAAAAAACTGAATTCAGTAGTAGTACGAGTCAGGTACATTGTACAAATGGTTGCTATGATAATAATTCAATGAAGGTGTTGCCTTAAATCCCGTCACACGCATACCTATAACTTGCACGCAATTTCACTGTTGGTAGACTGAAATTTATTTCCACATAAAACGTTTTAATAAATGTGCTGTTTTGACATGAAAAGCTACTAGTAAATAAAAAATTGCTAAAATATTTCCATTGAACTTGACACTAAAATATACTACAAAACTACTCACCTACAACTTAGCTTCTTCGTCTATTTATAAGCTAAATACTTTAGTCGATGTTGTAAAGTGCGTGTATTAAATAACAAATTACACTAAATAATGTTTGCTTATTTGTAATAATTAAGATAAAATTTTTTCAAATTTGTATATTCATTAGTTTCCATGAATTTACTGAATATTTTTTTGACATATAGTTATCCATAAGTCAATTTACTTACTTCCATTAACTAATTATAATACCCTTTAGACAAATAAAGTCTAAATTAATATCAATATTTTTATAACGTATTAAAAGAAACGTCGTAGACATAATCAACTATATATATTACTAATTGGATCAACTAAGTTAATTTCATTTAATTTCGTACATATATCTGTTTTAGTTCAAACTGGTCACTCAGTTTTTGGGCTATTCAAATGAAACTTGGTACATATACTTTTTGGGTGTGGTCCTTCGTCATATATCGGATTGGTTAAAATAGTAATATACCAGTTTTCTGCTATATAAACTGAATATTTAAAAATTAATTTTTTTCATTTTTATTCATATTAAAATTAAATGTGAGAAAGTTAATTGATATATTGAATAAAGTAAAACTCTTTTTGAAGGTTAAAATCATGGATCATGTTGAAATTTCTAATAAAAGAAATGCACTTTATGTATGCAGCTTAAATCGATTGCACAAGAACCTAATTGAATTTAATAAATTATTTGTCGATTTATTAAATTATTAAATATGAAATCATATTACAATATCATTAAAATTGAAATTAAATTGATTATGTGGTATTAATAATGTAATTTTTTTTTTGCGGCATTAAAGTTATTATTTCAACTTAACTCTTTCATCTGTAGTCGTCGTTAAAGCATTGATTATTTTTATTAGTGATTATTAAAATATAATTATTCAATGATTAAGGTCTCTTTGTTAATTTTGTTAATTTTTTTGTTAATTTGAGTGTTCCATATAGTAGCAGGCGATTGTTGTATATCTTTGTACTCTTTTTGCTTTTTACTAATTTTTATAAATTAAATATAATGATTTACCTCCTACGAACAGAATAGTATTGAAAGTTAACAATTAAAAATAAAATTATAATTAATTAATTAATTCAATTATTCTACAGCTGGTTTATGAATTCGTTCTAATATAAACACAGCAAGTAAAATTGTTAATAAAAACTTTCATAGTAATAGTAACAAAACTCCAGCAAAAATATGCGAACAAAAAAGTCAAGTACGGCTTTGGATCAGTTGGTTAAGGTGCGCTGATTCTGAGCTTCACATTTGGCAGGACCTGAGTTCCATTCCTGGTACTGGCAGTCTCAAAAATAATTATTTACGAATAATTAAATACAAGAATTATTTCCAAGACCACTGATGATGGGTGGTTAGTATTTGGCAATACTCGAAACAGCTGTATGCTCAGCCAAAAATTCAATTAATTAAAATAATATAAAAAATAAAATTTTTGGTGTTGTATTTCATTACTATTCGAAAGAACCTCTTTGTATAATGATTTACTTAAATAATTTAATATCATAATGATAACTTCAATGAATGAATGATAAAGATAATGATAACTTTGGTATATCAGAAATAAAAATACACATTTCCAATGGTTAAAGTCGAATTTAAGAGCATAAGGCAGAAACATGTTTCAAATCTTGAAAACCATGTGAATCCGCTCGTTAGACCTCTTGGAAATATGATAAATTCCTCTAGACTGAAATAGAATGATAGACCTGCCATCCTGTTTACCTAAAGAATATCCTGTTTATTCAGAGACCCTTTAAAATAATTTATAATTCATTGCAGTAAGTATATATAAAATAATTTGTAATGTCATGTTTTTAGCTTTTAAGTTTCTAAAACATATTGTAAAAGCGATTCAATAAAGTCGTATTGTTAAATACAAAAAAAAAAAAATATAATGATAACTTTATCTATTTTCGGATAAAAATGGATCTTAGTGAAGAAATGCAATTATAAAAATTAACTTTTAATTAATTAAATTTTTAAGCCCATACAGCAAAATTAAATTATATTATTTTAATTTGTTTGTAATATGTTTATTTATTAACATATCTATTTGTATAGCTGTATTTATATTGATTTCAATTCACATATATGCAGGCTCTGCAAAATCGATATAGATATGTAGTTGTATATATGTAATTATTTCAATATTACTATAAAATATATGAGTACAATTGGTTCTATAAGTATTTACCATGCATAACAAACTTGGTCAATTGTCCATATAATTGGAATCAAACCAAAACAGCTCATTTGACTTACTTTCGATTGCAGTACTTGGCACGACTAAAAATTCCTCATGGACTTATGCATTTATTTTGCTTGTATTTTCGTATCTTTACTGTCTGCCGAGTGTGTAGAAATGTGCTAACGAGTGTATATATTTAAGTGCATATAAAATTTTATTTTTGCTGTTAAATACAATTAGACTGTGTGACTGCAGTATGACCGCAACGTCATTATTGTTTTACAATGAGAGTTATTTATTAAACTGATAGCTGCTTTGAGTTATACAATTCAATTTGTGGGCAGTCAAGTGCAATGGAGTCCTTCAGTGCCACAAAAGAGCGTGGCTCTTATGGGCTAGTAATAAAAATTTGCTTTAATGATGTACTTATTATAAATTCATTGCATTTTATTAACCATAAGACAATAAATTTTATTTTGTATTGTTTCTAATTTTTCTTGATTATATCATTTCAGCCAGAGACTACAACTAATTGTACATAATTTATCTAATTTTTGCTTTAATAGTAATCCGAAGTACAAGCGCTTTAAGAATTTGTAGTATTTTTGTTCCAACATTCTCTCAACCAACCTTGTTATTTCAGTTTGTCATTGAAAAAACATTAATCATCTTGCAATGGATTTCAACATTTCAAACCGTATCCCATTGGCAACGTACGTATCTGCAGAAAAAAGTGGATAAAAATTGTCAATCTGGAAAATGGCCAACAATCTGTTATCTTTGCTATTTGTTGCTGTTAAAGTGGCTGCCATCGTTGTTATTTGTGGTTTGGTCTATGCTGTTGGGCTATGTGTTTAGGAGCTGTCATTGTTGGCAATGTCAATCATCATCAGTCCTCGTTGTAGGCGTGTCACTAGTTTTGTCATCTGCAACGAGTCTCGTATATCATAAGCTTAATGTTATTTTTTTCTTTATTTTATGATGTTCTATGCTTTGGAAGTGAAATCCTATAGAGACTTGAAATGCATATTTTTATGCTTCCACATGCAGTTTACTTTTTGAAGCAACTGCCACTTATTTATGTGCATTTTTATGGCGTTGCATTATCCTGCATTTAATGGCAACCCTCAAGGTGTAGGGAAATTTTTTGCGTTTATAATGGCAAATTTTACTTCATAAGCAAATAAACAGTTTTTGTTTAATAAAATCTTCGGAAAATAAATTTCAACTTATTTTGCATTTTAATATTTGTTATTTATGATAGTTTTAGTTGTATAAGTGTTTATTACATTATTTTTATACATAAACATGTTTTCCTTTTTTTTAGCTCCATTCGGAGTATAGGAGCACTTATCGTTGGCATGAATTTACTGGAAACTCAAGGCCTGAGGTTGTCCGTCGGGCACCAGCGCCAAATCCAAATCAATTTGTTGGTAAGTTAAAGAAAGGCAACTAATAAAAAAGTCTTTAAATGTGCATTGATTTTTATGTTTGTTGTAATGTTTTTTTAATTAAAACTTGGGCGTATTACATAAAAGATTTTATTTTTGCTTTCGTAATTAAAAAACTTTTGTTTGAAGGTCAAAATGAAGAAATATTGTTTCAAATTTAAAACTCACATAAGTTATTTTAAGAAAAAAATTGTTTTCTTTAAATAAAATTTTAATTTTCAACTGCATTCGTTATGAATAGTAAAGTATGCGATATTTAAAAATTATATTTAATTACTGAAGAAACATATTAAAACTAATTAAATAAAAGAATCAAAATAATACAGAACCAAGAAGGTTATATAATACACTAGAGAGTTTTAATCAGAAGCTGGAAGTGCTTCTTCAAATGGTTAAGATCTATAATCACACTTCCGTAAGTGTCTTATGCTGTCTGCCGTAAGAAACATGATACATTACTAATAGGAAAAGAATTTTCAAAAGCAATAAGCTACATATAATGTATAGAATGAAGTAACTGAGAAGATGGGCTGGACAGGTACACGCAGATAATATTTCTTTAAAGGAAAATTGGACAATAAAATTGTATTAGAATCAAATAAAATTAAACTCCTTATTCACCCAAAGAAACATGAGATTCCACTTCTTTCTTCACATATGACACAATTACAATTTTCAAAGAGCCGTTATTTAGCGAATGATTTTGGTCAAGTTTTCTAATCTGAACAATTATTCCCTTTCCCTAAGTTACGTTATATGCTCTTATAGCTCAGTATTCGATATATCGGGCAAATAACTTGTTATATGCTCCGTTATATGTTTTTATATCTCAGTGTTCAATATATCGAGCAAATAACTTGTTTAGTTTTAAATTTATTAAATAAACAGCTATAACGCAACGTATACTTGTTATTATTACTTTTCATGTAAACATTTGCAAGTTTAAAGTGCAATGCCTTAAGAATAAAACTATATTGACATATTGCATGATAGATAAAGATTGGCAGAACAGTCGAATTTATAAAAATCTGTCCTGAAATCGCAGTTATTCGAAAATCGCAATAGTGCTGTATATTTGGTATTTTATAAAGTTTTGATATGTAATTTGTGAAGAAAGCATAATTACTTGGACTGCCTTTCAACTGTATTTCTTCAAACATACTGATGAAATAATTAAATACCAATACGGCTTTAAACAAAACCGAAGATCCTATAAGAAATAACCTATAAGAAATCTAACAAAACCCAAAGTATGTAGAATTATAGATTTCTTCAAAAAAAATGTTCTTCGATTTCATCTTCATGACATCTATTCGTGAAAATGTTGTTTTTAAGTATCTTTTTACGTTTTGGTAATGAGAAAAAGATACAGAGCGCCATATGTGAAGGTTATTATTCTATTATTACACAGAAACTGCTTAATATGTTTCACAGTTTCATCATTCATAGACGTGTTAGTATACAAAGATCTCCCATCATATTCAATGTGTTCTTAAGTTTTCTGAAAATTTTTGTACAATTCTTAAAGTCATTACTCTGAGATAAACTTCTTTAACATTTTAAATTTTAGGTCATACGATTCGTCTTATATCACACTCATTAGAAACTTTATCCATTCCTAAAATTTTCTAAACATACGATAGTATGTACTTCAAATACGGATATAGTCAGTTATTAAGTCAAGGAACTAAAGCATTTTACTGAGAATTGAAAATAACCTGAAAATATTTTTATATGGTTTTTTAAATTTAAACTAGTTATAAAAGTCTGTTTTTAACTCTCATTTTTTCGCTTTATTTCGTTTATTAAGTGCACACATTTAAAAAATCTTTCATTTCTTTTTATTTTATGATTTCTATTATAATTTTTTTCAATTCACAGGTCCAACAAATGAGCCACCATTGCCACGTCGGAAAAAATGTCCAGAATTAGCATATAAATCGCATGAATTTATAATAGGAACGGAATACACAGATGTGAATCGCGCAAACCGTTCAGCGAGGGTAAGTTTTAATTTAAATTGAACCCAAGGCAAAATTAAAAATTTGACAGAAATTTGCAACCAACAAAAAAAAAAAATAATTGGAAAAAACAGATTATTGAATAAGAAATTATCAGTGTAAATTTTTCATTTTAATTATGATAATTATTTACTTATCTCCAATAATATTTTGTAAAAGAGCATTTAATAAGTTTATATAATTATCGCTTTGCTGTGGCAAATAGCTTGAAATATTTGTTGCACTTCACCCATAAAATTAAGAAGTAATAAATTGATGTAAGCGTTCGTTACTCAGAAGTCTGATGTGGGAGACCATTAAATGCAACTGTCTTGTATAATAAGCCTTTGAAATTTATAAGATATCTCCGCAACGTTTTCTGTAAGCTGATAACACTATATGGTGTTATCGTTTCAGATCTGAGCGCGATCTGTTATCCAAATTGTTCAAATCAATTGTTTAAATTCTTTTAAATGTTCTGCGATGTGACGAAATCCTGATTTATTTATTTTATTTTAAAAAAATGCGTTAAAAGAAAACCCGTTTATTGCATCATCTTAGAACTACTTAAAAACTAACAGAAAAAGGAGATAAATATTGTATATTGGTCATTCTTTTACAAACCGGACAGATTTTTATCAAAAAATAACCTCATCGCCTCCGATTTGGTTGAAATTTTTTCATGAGATTCTTTCATAGAATAGGAAGACCCGTCCAACGGGAAAGAATTTTGTAATTATTTTCCTAGAAGATATGAACCCATGGGGTTTTGAGAATTGGCATTTTAGACACATTTTCAAATGGCCATATCTTAGGCTATATAAATGATAGAAACTTGAAACTTGTTTTCTTATTTTGTGAAAGGAGCTCATAAAAAACAAATTCAGTCAAATCGGAGATGATAACGTCAAACAGGTGTCCGATTTGTAAAAATTAAATTATTTATTAAACAATAAAGCGAAAAATTATTGCTACTGTTTGTTATTAATTGTTTGTCATAATTGTTATTACCGATTGTGCATTTATTTTTAAAACAAATTACGATTTTGAAGTTAAATTACCACTGTGGTCATAAAAGAAAATTTGCTAAAGGAGTTACTCGTACCAATGAACCTACATAAAATATTTCTATAAAAAATTTGCTAAAGCACTGGCATAATTATATAGCAATAAATGAGATCGATATTTACATCGACGACAATCATTTTGATTAATTGATATTTTTTTTTTATAAAGAATACTTTTTATATAGAATGCATAAATATTTCATTAGCATGATTTCACCTTTTACATGAACTCAATTCGGCTTAAATATCAAACAGGTTCCCTCGTCTGATTAGATGACTAATTTATAAGTGACGGTAGGTATTTGTCTACACCCAGACACTTCACATTAAAGAAATATATAAACATAAATTACTTTAAATATTTTCTATATATAATAAATTTATTAGTCTTAAAAGCCCTTGTAGTTATTCTTGAAGGTGTGACAAGATAAAAAATCTGTAACGGTTTTCTTTTTGGTGTTATTGTCAAAAAGTTGAAAGCAACAAAGCAAAGCGTTTTATTAATGATTGTAGTTTATTTACTTAAACGACAATATTTTCCTGTACGAACGTTAAAGCAATTTTCCGCCCTGCATTTCACCTTTCACCGGAAGTCTGACAAGGCACCATTTTATGCAGTTTTCAACTTCTGTTGATTTTACAAAAAGCGTCCAGTCATATGTTCTATGAGATTTTTTTACCGCGTTCAATAAGCGGCATTTGTTTGCATTTCTGAGCAAAAATAAAAGATGGAAAATATGAGAATATCAGAACTGTATGAAAAAAAACTTGAAACTCAGGCTTTTACAAAAAATTTATGCCTTGTTGGCATTTTAAAAACATGCATTTCCAGGGTTTATAAGTTTTTGTGTTTATTTTTTTAATATGCCGATTTCAAGTTGCTTTTAATGTAATATTTGACATTGAGCTTAACTTGTATATGAAGTGGCGAATACTTACAGAAAATGTTTCATGTCCTTATGGCATACATAACATATATGTGAGCACATATATAGTATGAAGTACATATATTGCATACTCATTGAATTTCTATATATTATATATGTGTTTATAAAAATATACAGAGTGAGTTCTAATTTTATGAATACGTGTAAAAATTATTTAAGTTCATTGTGTACTATTAGTTCCACCAAATGGAAATTCAATTCTCTTATTGAGATGCCCCGTGGAGGTATCAGTCTTATGGTAGGTTTGCCTCTAGGTTATTGGAGATTAGGTGACCATGTTGGAAGATTGAATCTTCTCTTCGGTCATACTTGTAGCAGCTGTGGGAAAGACAATGAAAATGCTTCATCTAACTTCATAAATGATTAGAAATTGTTGTATTGTGGGATAAGAAATCATTTTCGAATAGAAGAGGTGGTAATAGTGTTAAAATTTAAAAACTTAGAAATTTTATTTTTTTATAAAATATTATTGCCAACAAGAGGTTAGCTACACTAACCAAGAGGTTGTTAAACCAATTGATTTCCATCATTTAAATAAAGTTGAAGAGATCAGTTAAGCTTTATTTCATAGACACAGTATAATGAAAAGTATTTTGATCAAATTTGTTGAGAAAAAGCATATAATGCCATATAAAGCATTTTATTTGAAAAAGCAGCATTAAAATTATTTGTAATACTTTTTTAAATAATATTTTAAAGTGATCGCAAAGCACCTTATAAATACCGTTGAATATCATTTCTAAGTACTAGGCAATCTATTCGCTAGAAATAAATCTTATACTAACTATATAGCAGAGCACTGTTATAAGTGTATACTACAAAGATATTCGTCAAGCACTGAGCTGTGTACATCAAATAGTTAAAATAAATTAATCAATAAATTCTAGTGAATATTATTATTAAGTTAATTATAATAAGCAATAGTTGTATATTGAAGAAGTTTTTCATAGCGAGATATAATTAATTTTTAAAGCCAATTACAGTAAAGATAATTGGTGGGAGGATCTCATTTTGCAGTGTTATAAAACTTCTAAGTTGTTTTTTTTTTGCCATAATGCCAAAGCTGAGAGCCATATATCCAGAAAACTTTCCATATTTGATTACAGATGATCAATTTATGGTGCGTTTAAAGAAATACGTTTTTAATACTGCCTCATGTTTCTTCTTTTTAATCTTATCGGTGAGATATTTAAAAATACAAAAAATTCAACATAATTGAGGGCTACCCTCACTAACATTAAGAGCAAGATTTTTTTAGTTAAATCTATTTGACTTCTACATGAACCAATTATAAACAATTAAGCACAACTCCCGTTTAAATATTAAGTATAGTAAATACAAATCTGCTAAGATCTTGAGCTGCCTAAAAATGATATATGTCCAAATTAGTTAATTAATTATCAGAGATATGGTATTTACAAAATCAGTTTTCTATAAATTCTGGCGTTTGGAAATAAAATTAATTTAAAAACAATAACACAATTTGAGCATCTATAAATTTTAAATTGCCAGCTTTAAAAATTATATCAGGGTTCTTATGATGATACCCCCCATGCACAGCAAAATATTAGGTATACATGATAAATGGTTTAATTTTACATATAAAATATTATATTAGTATATTGTATTGAAACTTTATGCATTAAAACCCCATGGCTCTCTTAAAAGGTGATGGAGGAAGAAAAAAGGAATTTATTAGGGATATAAAATAATAATCAATTGTATTTTAAAGCTCAGTTTATAGAGGGTGAAATACTTAATAAAGAAAAGGAAGTACATAATATGTAATAAAAAAACATCAGTTGTCTAAATATTGCAAATAAAGACTGTTTCATTGGAGTTCTATGTAAGCATATAACCATTAACATGAGTGAAGGAGAAGCATTATTTAAAAAATGTGTTAATATTAATTGTATTAATTTATGGTTTTTCACCAAATAAATCATATAGGCATCAAATAGAATAATTTTTCATGTCCAATATGTCAAAAAGGTTGATAACGATAAAGAACTTTGCTCAGACATAGCCGTGCTAACACTTTGACAAATTATTCTGTACGTTAACAAAATTTGAATAAAAGTCGCATTTATATAGCTTAGGTTGACAAAGGACACACTATTTTCAATGCCTTTTATGTTCAAAAATTTCACTGTACCATATATGAAAATTTTGTTAGTTTATTCATGCATTTAGCTTGCGTAATCAGGAATTTAATTGACATTTGACATCAGTTTGCCTTGCCGACTAATGTTCATTAGGAACAGCGACAGAGACAGCAAAAAATACAAAAGTGAACTTTGACTTTCTGCATTGGTAACGCTTTTATAGATTTTTTTTCTTTTTTCTATGTTATACCATATATGTATAGAGAACTCTTGTTATTAATAAATTTTAATGACAGAATTTTTAATTAGTTCACAAATGCTACTAATTAAAATGTTTTCAATTATTTTTATTAAAAACTATAAAATTTATTTTTGCATTTTACAGTCTGAGGAACGTGGCACTCCATCACGTCGTAGTAAATCGGAGGGACCACCAGTTGTACCAAATGGTCGGGCTTATGCTATACCAACGGAGGTCGATGGACCAGCAACTAAACAGGTATATTAACGCGCATGATATATACGTGTTTGTATGCTTGTAGAGTGTCTATGTTTGTTATGTGCGTGATGTGAAATATGTTGCATTAGATAAAGGGAAATATTATATTATATGTTACAATGAATTATATTATTGATATTAGATATACATATAATTATTTAATTGTTATTATTTAAAATAATAGCTAATATGATATGACTTCAGAACTCTTAAGATATTCAAATTTTTTATTATTTATATATTAAAAAGTACTAAAACTATTTAGTTCTCTTGATAATACAATAGTTAGACATTTTGTATTTAGTATTTAAATCGATTTTGTTATAGACAAGAAACATTGAAACATAGAAACATTGTTATATTGAAATACTGACACATATAATAAGCTCAATGCTAAATAGCGTGAATTCAACAATCATCATAGACGAAGTTTTTGAAACAGTTAAAGAAAGATATTTATATCAGTTGTGAACGTATTACAAAAATATATTACGAAACTTTAATTTACGAATTTTAGAATCTTTGAAAATCGTTTATTGGCTTGTAAACATTTTAAATAACCGTTTTTTATCCAAAGTTACCTAAAGTAGTTATTATCATGCTTGATATGTTTCATCGCTTCAAAGTGAAGAATATAATTGAACATACATATCTATATTAAGCAGTAAAGTAATAAGTAAAACTCGGACTTACTTTTTTCAAAAAATTTTGTATTATTACGGTTTTCAAGCAATATCTTAAAGCTCGGTATATCTCGAAGTATACTCGAATATTGAACATTTAGATTGAACTGCTTTAAGTTGTTGAGTTGCTCGGACAGCTCATTTGCTTAATATTTCCTTTAACTTTCATTTTGTTTTATGCATATGATATTACAGCAAGTGCTCGTACAGATAATGATATTCGAATATTTATGAAACAATTGGCTTTGCTCGTGCATTTGGAATACTCGAACATCAAAATGTTCAGACATAAATAACGTTTCAAATACAACTTCCTAGAATGCTTTATAGTATTTCAGTTCGTTTAATTCATTGGAAGTTAAGGAAAATATTATTGTATTTTATATTTAGTGAAAGTTATTTTTGTTAAAAGTTGCATGATATTTAAAAATTCTTTTGAAATATTTTATGCATGAATGTACTTTTAAGATTATATAGAAAAAAGTTTTTAACAAAACTTTTACTTCCAAAATACAAGGATTATATTATGATCATATGTAGTTTTCGCATTGTAGAAAAAGCTTTTACCAACAATACGAAAAGAAAAAAGCATTTTATTTGATATAAGTTTATGTCTGCAAAGTACACTGAAAACAATTTTCTAGTAACTTCTTTATGCTGCGTTCTTACATTCATTCTTCGTATTCCATTCGAATATGAACTGAGCATCTATTACAAGATAATGCCCAAGAAAAATGGCTGTTGGAAAAAGTGGAGCAACATAATCATTCATATGAATTTTTTATTACAAATTGAAGATTGCTGATTACATATGAAATCTATTTGAAGCAGTATTCAATTTCAACTTGCCAACATGAATCATTGCCGCTTATTTCAGTGCAGTTCGATTCTGTCTGGGCTGAGTTTCGTTTTGATTTACATTTTTATTTTGTGCCATTTCCACTGCACTTCACGTCTGTTGCATAATTTTACTTTTCTGAGTGGAGTTTTTCGCCTTGCATACACTTTCAGCGCACTTCACTTTATTGCCAATATGCAACATTATTTGCAACTGGCAACATACACCACACACTCCACACTCCATGCGACCATTTCGAGTAGGAAATGTGTATGTTAAAAAAATGTTGGTGCACTCGACCTATATTTAAATTTTTAATCTACTACAAAACTCTTCAGCATTTACATAAGTTGCTCTGTTAGGTTCTTTCCTTTCTGTTGCTTAGTGCTTTATTGCGGCATTTAATAAATGGCTATGATGTGAAACTTCATTTTATTTACATTTGTTGGCCATTTTATAAAAACTTATATTTGCATAAGGAAAAAATTTAATAGTTGAACATTTTAGTAAAGTTCAATAGTTTATTTGAGTTTATTTAATAGTTGTTATTTAAACCGTAGCACTTGTGTTAAGCATTTATGGAGCTACAAACGTTGTTTGCATAATTAGCAAATATTTTTTTTAAACTTTAATTTATTATTTATATAATATTTAAATATATAAACACTTTTATTTATTATAAAAATAAATTAAAAAATATTTACTATAATACGAGTATATATAAGGAAGTATTATATAAGGAAATGAACTATTAGGCAAAAAAATATTGTAAATATGTCATAAAAATCCAGTGTTTTTTATGTATAATATGATATATAATTATTTATTTAATATAATATAAATAATTATTTATATATTTTTTGACTAATTTAATAGATTGTTGTTCTTTCTTCAAAATTTTAAAATTATGTGAAATGTAACAATTTACAGATGTTTAAGACTTCGGCTCAAGTTGCTAAAATATTTTTATAAGAATTATATAAATATTCTATTAAGCATACAATTTTTAAGTAATTCCATATATATCTCTTTAACAAATAAGTTTTCAGTCGAAATAGTGATAGTGATAATGATAGTAATTATTTTATATTCCACTATTATGTATTGATCTATAAAAATAGCAATTAAACTATGTTTTTATATATTTTTTATTTAATTAAGCTGTTGATTACAACTCCTAAAAATAATTAATCATAAGTTAAATAATATATATGCAGTCTTATAATATTCCATATTCCACTTTGATAAAGTAATTATTTTCTAATAAAGATGTAGTTTACTTTGAAAAAGTATTTAAATACAAAGATTTATATTTAATCCAGAGAGTTTTGTGACTGATTATACTAAATACAGAGATATATACAGAGATATATATTAAATGATATAATAATAAATATTGAGAGGAACTTTATTGATTATTTTTTTTTGATTTTTGTAAGTTGAAATTTTTGCTAGTTAAAATTTTTTAATAGCACTTCTGTCAATAATAGAAATTAAATACATATTAAATATTATATCTACTGGAGAGTTCGTTCTATTTAGAAAACAAAACATATCCTTAATATAATATTTTGCAAAATATAATTTTCGTCATTACTAATGATTTTTTGTCTTACTGACCATCATGGTACCATTTTTACTGTATTTGACTTATTTTATTTACAAAACATTTCTAACTTTTTATATGATACTCGCTAATGAAAATTATTATTTATTTACACATCAGCTGAATGCTCCAGAATGCTCCAATGGGCAAAGGGTCAGTTATCTCAAGTTTCAAACACGAACTTTAAAAATCTTACAATCTCTATTTAATTTTAAATTCAACTTAGAAAAAAGAACTTAATAATTATGTTACATATTTTCAAAATTTCATTTAACTTAAATTAAATGCGTATTTGTAAAACGTGAGGTACAGCTTTAATAATTTTTTTTTAAATAATGCTATCGGGTGAATTTTCCTTTTTAAATAAAATTTCGTGATAAACTGAATCAAATAAAAATTAGAAAACTTTCTACGTATATTTTGGAAATTTTGTGTTATTAACGATTAATACAACTAAGTAACTAATTATGATTATAATTTTATTTATTTGTTTACTAAAAGTTCAAATTATAATCTCTCCCATTTACACAGCCAGAGATATGAGATATTTATATATCTATATCATCTATATCTCTTACGAAAAAAATTTTATAATTCTTTCCAGAGGAACGAGTGTTTTTATTTACATAAAAAAGTTCATAAAAATTTGTAGCCAACTCTAAGGATATGAGATCATAACCGGTAGCACTTTTAAAATAATGAGCTATAATATACAAGTGAAGTGATTAACGATAAATTAATTTAATTTTCAAGTTATTAATTATTGGCATACGTTAAAATAAAAGCAAACTTATAGAGATAGGACAAGATTTATATTAATAGTTAATGTCTGTATAAATCGTTTTGAAAAATTTTGTGCCTTTACTTATATATTTAATTTGAACCCCAATTTTGTTAATAAAGTTCTGTACTTTATATTTTGGTATTCATATTTTTGGAATTTTTTAATAAATTAAAAATTATGTATTCTTTTATTGATCATTACTCAACTAAGCTAAATTATTCTTAATTAAGAAAGGTCGCTATATAATATGGAGTTTCTTTTCTGAGTTCAATTCAAAACAACTAATTAGACTTAGCACTTTCAAATATTTAAGTTAAGTACAGTAAGTTAGACTTTAACAAAATATTGTACAAGACTATTTGTATACACTATTTGTTTAACAAAATATATATAAATATTAATTTAAAATTTTATAAATCTTTTAACGAACTGTGAATATATTGGTAAGAGTATAGTACTTAGTCCCATGAGATTCTGACATTCTCGAAACATATAGAACGATGATATGGTATATATTAATCATGTGTTATGATTTTACATATTATTACATTTTGTATATTGTATATAAAATTAATAAATTATATATATATATAATTGTATATATGTAACTATGCATGATGTACACCAGTAATATATATATATATATATATACACCTTAAAAGTGAGAAGTTATAAATCTAAATAAATTTTCATATAATAAAAATTTAAATAAGTTTAATAATTATATATAAAATTTACAACACATACTTGTATTTTGTGTTTCCTTTTCTTTCCATCTTTCCGTCTTTCTGTTTCTGTTTCCGTTTCTGTTTCTCTTTTTCTATATCCTTTCTCTCTTTTTCTCTTATTATTATATATACACATACGAAATTCATATATTATATTAATTTAACTTGATAATTATGATATTATGAAAAAAAAAACATTTTTTAATTATTTTTCTCCACGTATATTTTTCTTGTTATTGTTCTTCTCTTTTGCAGGCGGGTGAGTCAAATGGCTTATTCAAAAAGACAATCTCAAAATTGAGCACAGAATATCGTTTGCAATTCGTTTGGCCAAATGTCCGTAGAATAAAGGACAAAGAGTCAAACGATGCAGCGGATCACCCGAAAAAATCAATATCAATGGGTGCTATCAGATCAAATCAACAAAAATATCAGCAACAACAAACAATGGCAGCGATGCCAACGGTTCATAAAAAACGTACAACAAATCAAAAAGAAGGTGCGACAACAAATTGTCGCTAAAATAGCAATTAATTTATTTTTCATTTAAATAGTTTTAATAATAATTTTGTTTATTAATTCATTTGATTTTCTGATATTTAATTAACTTTTAATGAGTTCTCTTAATAACTGTAACGTAATGGTTATTCTACTAATTTGTACGTTTGTCCAGAAAGTGATTACAGTAAAGTTGAAATGATTTTTTTTATTAAATAACGCGTTTCATTATATAATTAAAATATTAATACGCGCTTTCCTTATTTTAAAATAATAATATTTTTTTAAATATTTATAGTAATGCTTCAGTAAACGCACATAAAATTAGTTAATTAATAATTTCAATTAAATTTGTTTATTTTGAAAAGAAAAAATAAAACGCGCTTAGTTCAATTTTTCATATAGAAAACTTAAAAAATTCACTTGAATACGTAAAAGTTTTTTATGTACACGTCGCCATTAAAATTTGTTGTCAAAATTTAGTTAAAATAAATAAAAAAAATATATAAAAATATTACATAAAAAAGTTCATGATAAGCTAAAAATATTAGAAAAAAAAATGTTAGTAAAATAATTTTTTTTTACATTTAAATTTGCATTAAAGTACGTAAAAGCGATAATTTTACAAATAAATAAATATAGAATATGTCTAAGAAGTATCTAGATCACTTTCTACATAGATTTTTACTAACATTTTTTTCTAATTTAGTGTAAGAATTAATCTTTTATATTTTAGTCTAATTTTGGGTTTCGTATTATTTTAGTTTGCTGTGCAAAATTTCTTAGCTTTTTATACTTTCAACTTATTTAACAAATATCTCAAAAATTTTAACAAGTTTTTTATATAGAACGAAATTAAACAAAATTACTTAAAAAAAGTACGTAAGTTCTTTTGAAAATGACGTAAGTGTTTAAGCATCGATTAGACATATTTTAGTTTTTTATATGATTTTTTGTTTAATTTTTCTGAAACTAATTATACTGAAAATTTTGAAAAGGTATTTTAAAGAAGATTTGATGTTTAAAATGTAAATTTAAGTAAATATATTAGAAAACGTAATGAATAATATAATAGAAGGGCATATTTTAAAAATAGAAGCAGTCTGATAACAAGAATACAAAAAATTGTTAACCCTTAATACGACCATTTTTTTTATTGTTATTATTATTATTATTAAAGCTTTGACGTGAAATCGCCCAATGGCCGTTACTGCGGCCAGAAGAGTCCTATTGTAACAATTTCAATAATGATTACACAAAGCCTTTAATGTTTTGTGAACAAAGTCCAGAACTAAATCTAGAGAAGAGCTCTTAATCTGTTTTGGTGACAGAAATTCCATATGAAACAAGTTTCTTCTGTGCGTTATTAAAACTGGACAGTCACAAAGAATATGCAAAGTAGTTTCCTCATCTTCGAGACATGATCTCCATTCCGTATTAGCAGATAATCGTAGTTTATGAAGGTGATATATCAGGCCATAGTTCATTGTTAGTTTAAATTCTAAAAATATCTCTAAACCAGGTAAAGAATCATAATCTTAAAAAGAAAACATCAAACTCCTAAATTCTTAATTACTTTAAATTTATGGCTGTTATTTTAAAATCTAAAAAAATTCTTATCATTTATTGATGCAATTAAAGTTTACATTAAAAATATAACTCTAAGTTGCACTACTAAATTGAATTCATTAAAAAGTAAACTTCTTCGTTCATAAAACAAACAAAATACTCAAATAATCAGCAAACAGCAGTAAAAATTAAAAAGAAAATAATAAATAAAAATGTAGAAGCTAACTGCACTAAAATTCTGACACAAATCATTAAAATTACTTATTAAAGTTTTTTAGTAAGATAATAGAAATATCACTTTATATATTATCTCATATTTATGTATAGAGCAATAAAGTAAATTCAAGGTGCCAGCTAACAGCACCAAGACGAACAAATCAAGTAAAAATGAAAATAACATCCTTACAAAAAAGCATTAAAGAAGAGCAAAAGTTCTAGACAGACTAAATAACGCCAAAAACGTTTGTTCGTTAAAAGCTTTGGCTAACAACACCAAAAATAAGCAAAAGTTTTGATAAATATCAAAATACTAAAAAAAAAGCTGGAGACGACTGAAAAATTATTTAATAAATTAATAAATTTCTGAATAGTCTATACAGTTTCTTTTCAGTTGTATACATTAAAGATTTACAGTGTTAAAAAGTAAAATTTCATTAAAATTTGTTTGGGAAAACCTTTATAAAAGTATAAAAGTTAACCTTAATAGTTTTTTTCGTAAATTAATGTATTATAATATGTGATAAAGTTAAAATATCAGTAATGGCATTATTTATGATGAAAATAAGGTGTCATCAATATAATCACCTTATGATGTTATGTACTCAATGATATCTAATTGTAGCAAATGAACAAACAAAATTATCTTTACAATGCTCTATTTGTTGCCTCAGAATGATTTCTAGCCGTACGGTGCGGTACACAGATCTTAGATCAGTCATCGAATAATCACGAAGCTTTTGAGGAATACATAAATTAGTCAGTGAGAAGGGTGGGACTCTGTAAAAACCCGCCTAGCTATCAAAGAGTCAAAGTGCCCAGATGTACTCGGAAAAGCCAACATGAACATAAATATAAAGAATAGTACTGTAGCTTTAACAATAAAAAAATTATAATAGTGGTTATAATTCCATAAGATACGTCTTATAAGCCTATTCTAATTAAAAACAATGCCTAGTGCTTTGGTTGTTATCTTCTAAACAAACCAGAAGCAAGAAAAACTTAAGCATTGAACACCAAGACTTTCAAGCAGTTTTGGCTACTTTTATTAAAACACGCTGTCATTTTTTTTAATTTGATTTATTCAAAGTTCTAAGCCTGGTATTTATAAACTAACAAACATTTCTAAAGACTACTGATGAGTGTTTGACAATACTTGAAATAGCCGAAAAAAATTCAATTTAATATTGTTTAAAAACAACACTACAATTACAATTTTCTTTGACTGGAAAACTATAGCTTAACTAACAACGTAGCTTCAAAATATCTTTAAGGTTAATACCTTTTTTAGTTAGTTGTTAATTTCCTACAATATGTTGTTTTTGATACATAGTGTATGATGTAAAAATTCAATTTTGTCGAAAATATAAACATATCTCTTTATTATATTATTATTATTTCCATACTCCATTAGTAGCTTAGGAAGTCTACAGAAGTTTTTCACTGGTTTCTATTTTGTGCTATTGCTCTCAACTCGTTAAACGATGTGCCCGTCTTCTGCTAAACTGTCCTTCTCCAGGTCATTGCTGGTCTGCCTCTGCGCCTAGTCCCCTGGGATTTCCAAGTAGGTGCAGTATGCACGATATCTTCATAAGGCTAACGCAGTGTGTGTCCAATTCAACCCTACTTCATTCTTATTATCTCGCTGTTTATGTTTATTTGGTGCGTTCTTCTTCATTGATAAATGATTGCAGTCTTCTTTCGATTTCGGAGTTAGCAAGACAGGTTTCCGATCCATATCGGCATACCGATTTCTATCTTGGTGTTGGTACGTATATTGTAAGCCCGCCATATGTTGCGCAACCTAGCAAATGATATTTCCGCTTTAATGTCCTTTTACGCATTCCCATCCACCGAGAGAATACTCCCTAAGTAAGTAAAGCTTCGGTGACTACGATGTGATGTCCATTGGTTGTAAAGCGAGTTGAATTTTCTCTTTAATTGAAACATTTTCGTTAAACTTAAAATTAATGATAAAAAGTGATGAAAAAACACATAAAGATATTAAAAACAAAATATTTTCAGTATAATTTAGTTACATCAAAAATAAATTTTTATGAAAGAAGTTTAAGTGTTAGCATGTATCTTAGAATTTCATATTTTGAATTTTTTTTTTAGTGGTTTCTTATAAAAGAATTTTTTGGTTCAAATGCAATAGTGTTCAAGGCATGAATTTATCATTCATGAACATTTACTAACAAAATCATTAACCTTAATTAATAAATTCATTAAAAAATATTATTAAGTTTTTAACAGTCAACAAAAAATATCAAAAAGAGTATTATATATTTTTTTATATTAATAGTGACGATACAAATTCATATATAGAATCAGCAAATTTATAAAATAAATATTTGCTTTAATCCCTTCAAAAAAAAAAAAGTCAAAAATTTGTAAAAACTTCAATAAAATTGGCGTAAAAATTGCACATTTTTTGCTTAGTTTAAGTGCAAAGACTAGATGTAGTTCTTTGTTGTGCGAAGACTTACAAGCCAAGCTTTAAACTAAATTATCCCAATTGTAAAAATGAAATTATGAAAATTGTAAATAAATAACAATTTATTTGCTTTTTTTACAAGACACTTGCTGCATTCAAATCATTATTAAATGAAAAAAAAATTTATTGGTTAAAATTTCGTTCTATATTTTATTTTTAATTTTCTTCACGACTTACATGCAGACAGACACTAATAAATTTCTTATCATGCTGAGCTTAAAGGGCATAAAAGGTCAATGTGAAAAATGTTAAAAAATGTAATTATATTTTTTATATACAATACATTTATAAATGAAAAAAAAAAATTAAATTGTGCAGTATTTTTACTGCCATTTGTTTTACAGATTTTTATGCCTTTTTCGCAATTATCCTTGCAAGCGCCACACTCTTCAGTTGTAGGATATTTTTTTTGTGCTCTTGCTGTTAAAGTTTTAATTTCCATTTAAATCTTCAATTGAATTGCCTTTTACAAAGAAATTATTATGGTTTCTAATGTTATACTAACACCTCAACTAACATTTAAGTACTATAATCTTAAGCACACTGTTCACTTAGCGAATCTCTCACCAAAATCAACTAATATCAAAATCCATCAAATTTTTTTCTACTTTAATAAGATTGTACAAAAAAGTAATTTAACATATCAAATGGAACAAAATTCAATTTTATGTGTGCTTTCAGCTACACTACATGAGTTGGAGCCACTGGTTAGCGATGCTGAAGATAGAAAACCCGTTGAAAAGTATGAAAACAAATTATATTTATTCCTTTTAGTTTCAAACAGAGTTGGGATACAATTAATTACAATTACTGTCACATTTAATGTGTTTTCAAATTTATAAATAATATAGACGAAGTGAGCTTTAAAAATTATCGTTCTATAAAATGAAACATAGATGATATTTCAGTCATGATATAGTAAATAAAGTAGTATACGTGTAATATACCTTATACCTTACTAGGTTACCGGTGCTAACGGCGAAATTTCAAGAAATTCGCTTGATAGACGCCATGGTATACAGGTATAACCTTTTCTTCATTTAGAATATTTTAAATATGTGAAGGATGTGTGTTTGCTGGGTCACAGAAGCAGAGATCTCCAACATACCGTAGATAGTCTAAATCGTAACGCCGGGTAGCAGGTTTGGAAATAAACACGTATAAAACGGTTGTCATGTCCAGTGGATACTGCGCTGTAACAAATTCTTTAATAGCTGTTGAGAACATAAATATAAATGTTGTACACTTCAGCACATATTTGGGCAGCGTAATTACTAACGTCTGCATTTGGCCAACTACAAAACATTTGGAGGTCAAATCAACTAAGCGTCAGAACAAAACGTCGAATATTTAAATTAAATGTTGTGTCTGTACTTTTGTATGGGTACGAAACATGGAAGTTTACTAGATCCATCAATTCGCGAACCCAAGTTTTCATAAACAAATATCTAAGACGCATCTTCAAAATATGGTGGCCAGAACGCATCTCTAACGCGAAATTGTAGATAAGAGCGAACATACGAAGCTTCGAGAGCAAAATCAAAAAACGAAAATGGCAATGGATCTAAAGTGGAACCTGCAAAGCAGTCGCCGGCCATGGCAAAGGACGATCTGTGCCGAACTAACATCATCGCGCTACTCATGGAACGACATCTGCACTGCAACTCCAAATAGAAGGTTATAGATATTGCCTAACAAAATCTGAGTTAGGACTATATTATGTAGAGTGCCTCGTGAACGGCCTGAGTAAAATTGTTATTTTTAATGCAGATTATAAAATTGAGAGTGTGAGAAAAAACAATATGTCGGTTCAAATTTCGGCATGAGAGGCGAGGCTATATATACCTCGTCACTTAGGCAAAGGAGTATTGTCCAATAATAAAAGTCAGAATTTGCGCCTTAAGAAAATTACTACAATTTTAATATGTTTTGGAGAAAAAATGACAATAAGCAACACATCCTATTTTATAAACATCTAATAATCTAGTTATTTCACTTTGCGATTTTAAGGAAAGGTGTATAATTTTGTAAATACTATAAACAATTATTATAAGATGATATAATAATAAATTAACATAATTACAGCCACTATGGGTTTTTTTTTGCTGGTTTTTACTGGTTTTGGTGATGGTACCAAAACATTGTAAAAATACGAAATTGGCAATACTGAAGTGATAGTCTATATAAAATGCATGTTTGCCATAGCTCAAAATAGCTAATTTTGCCGTGCCCGAGACAAAATTATATAACATGCCCCTTAATTGCATTCTTGTTGCCTTGCAATCGAATTCGGTATGCATTACATATACAGCTTTTTGAAACGCAAAACTTGACATGAAAAGTATTGTTTACTATGTTTAATGACACGCCTAGAGTTTTAATCTCTATCGATCGATATAGCAAGATCAATTGATAATCTTCTAATATTATCATATGTCTTACTTTTTTTTGCTATGATTTCTGGTGTTGATCTTGTTTTTAGACGTCTTTCATGTGAATCATCTTTAAGCCATTATGACCACATTGAAAGAAACCAGCCCACTTACATTATTTTCGACACAGCAGTTTACCTAACATCTTCACGATAAATTTCCAATTCCAAAAGAATTTAATCATTATCGCTTAGTTTTTTGTATTGTTTAAAAATTCGCCCATAAGAAATTCGAATAGTCTGTGAATGGCTTGACATGAAAATATTGATGAATTTAGAGGTGGAAATTAAAAGATAAAAAGCATAGCGAATATTGCGAAAAAATTGTAAAAATTATGTTACTTTTAATATCCATTTATCACACTTTAACAGTATGAAGTTGATTCAGTAACAGAAATGAATACGAGAATGTTTTATAATGATTGTTTCAATATAGGAAGAATTCTAAGTATAATACATATTTAAATTTTTAATATTGCAGACTAATGTTAGGTATAATATTCGTTATAAATCAATAAAATCATTTTAAAATAAAAGCATCACTTTGTCTCTATGATTTATACTACAAATTTGTTTAATAAAGTTAAATATTAATCTAAAAAGTACTTTGTATCCCAACTCTCACTTAGTTTAGATAGTTTACATATTTTCTTCCATGCAAAATTTTTATTTCTAAAACAGTTACACATTTTTTACATAAACAAACACTTGATACAATTGTAATTAAAAGGATTATTGTATATTCTTTTCTTTTATCTCCTAACAACATTTATTTCTTGTGAAATTGCTCCCAACTGCTCTACTTTTTTATATGAACGTGCAAATTTAATGGATGCTTCAATTTAATTTTCACGCTGCTTCAATATTGCTTTTTAATAATAAAAAAAATAAAAAAAAATGGAAATAAAAAACATAATAATAATTCGAAAAAAAATGCAACACACCAAACAAATAATGCTTTAAATGCACTGTTGTAAAAATTGAAAAATCTTTTGGAATACTATTACACCGTAAAAATATATAGACAAGTGACTATAGTGGAGAAGAAAATAGCAGCGCGTCCTTTTTCTCAAACTTTCGATCAGGAGCGTATCAATCACTTTATAACCAAGAAAGAAAACTTTGGCTTTGAGATGGCCAAAGATCAGGATGTAGTGGATAATAAGCAGCAAAGTGCTATTATTATGAATGGCTCAGCGCCACCACACTCACAACCCAACTTAGATTTGTGGTTCAAAGAAGTGGTGGAGCTGAGAAAGAAAGCAGGTGAATATAAGGTAGGTATTTGTTATATTGTAAGTAGTTATTTGATTTATATATTATTTAAAAATTATTTCATGCTTAGTGTCGCGGTTGGGGCATAGAAATCGATCCAGATCTATTTAAAAAACAAAAAGATCTCTGGGATCAGGTTTCAAAACGTAGTTCGCTTTCAGCCTTATCTTTAGCTTCTTCTGTGCATAGGTAAGCTTATTAGAACTAAAATATATAATTATTCATAAACAATTAATAAGCCACCATTTGCATAATTTTTTTTATATTATGTAGACCTATTACTAAAGAGGAGAAAGAACAAGAGAACAATAAAAAATCTATACCATTAAGCAAAACACAAAAACCCCGAGTTCCTGGACAAGCATATTTGATTGATAATAAAGATGAAATTTCTGCACTGCCAGCACGTTTTAGCAATATTCGTCATCACTTGGAACGCACCACTGGACCTGGTAATATAATTTTACCATAAAATGAAATAACCAATTATTTTGTATTGAAAGTCAGGTAATCTAATAAATTATTTATATTGTGAAATTTTCTAGATGTTGAAGAGGGCGCACTTTTGCCATCGCCTACTCGTGAAAAACTCATGCCAGCTATAACCAAACGTGAGTCAGAATCACAACGCGGTAGTCCTAAAAAAACTGCCGCATCGCGTCATGGTTCACCACAAAAAGGTAGTCCACAAAAGGGCAGTCCAAAAAAGGTGATCAAAAGTAAGTACAAAATTAATTTACTACAGAGTAGTATATATCCACAAAAAAACTATTTAAAATTACTCAAAAATATATCACAATATTTTATAAAATTTCAAATAAACTAAAAAATGTTAAAAGGCACTGGCAATCCAAAAGGCACACAATGCAATATCTACACTGAAAAAAATATAGTCAACAAAAGTACAAAATAATTTATCGTTTTCCACACTTAACACAGAGTTTTGTGTCCATAGATTTTCAATTATTTATTAAATTATTTTCAATTCAATTTCATTTTGTCAATAATTTGCAAAATTTTTCAATTGTTTGCAAATTTATGGTTATTTGCACTATTTTTTGATTGTACACCAAACAATTTCAATATTAATTTTACTGAATTGCTGCTCTGCAATTTAATTGCAATTTATTTTGAAACTTTGCTATTTCGGTTTGAACTGCTTGATTTTGCAAATGATTATTTCAACTCAGTTCTTAGCATACTTTTACTTTTTTTGCCATGTACAATATTTAAATGATTTTGATTTCAAGTTATGCTCTTTAGTACGATTTACTCCAATGTTATATGAGAATGACGTTTTGGAGTACTTGTATAATTTAGTATTAATCTATAAACTGTGTAAGATACGTATGAAATTTAACTAACACCAATTTGTATGTTTTCTATTTTTATTTTTTTATTAGTACTATATGTTAGTTATTCTAACAATGAATTACATACATATGTAAAACATATGTACATAAGTAAATCCAGAATATATATTCATGTATCATTCTTATATTATGGTATATCATATTATGAAGAGCTAATAGTATAATGTCCGTTCAACGAGCGTAGGAAATAGGTTGCACTACATAGATCTTAGACCACTATACCTAAAATCTATGTGATTGTAAAAATTTCGAATCTCTACATCATTGCTTGATTATGAGTTAAAATGTCGTGAAATATATAAAATTGATAAAACATGTATTGAATGCATATGAGCAACACTAACTGGAAACCATGACAATGCAATTAAATGATGTTCATACCGACATGTTTTGTTTCTTTGAACAAGTGCAACGAAAAATCTTGTTGGAATATTTTCTTCATAACAAGTTAAAAAACAACACTGTTAAAACAACAACTCTGTTGAATTTCTAAGTGCTTCTACATTTTGATAGCAGCTGGTCACTGTCTTTTTCATTAAAGCAATACATATACAGTTTATTTTAATCCGTTACATGTTTTAACGAAAGAAATGCATCGGTGTAAACACCACTTTTCAGTCAGGATCAGTAAACATGTTGCATGTGTCGGTCTGAACATCACTTCATAGCTAAATGAACTTAATTGTTAAAAAAAGCAAGTAATGTTTATTAATATCGAAATGCTAGAACATATAGTAGCAAATTCAGCATAAAAACTGTTATCACTGACAATTATCTCTATATGATAATAATAGAAAATTTTGTTGAAGTAAAGTTTTTCATACTATTGCTTGTCATTTGTTACTACGTTTAAATATATCTAAATTGTGAATTGTTATTAGTTAAAAACAATTTCTTAATTATAATTGTTGGAATGGTTTCAACGATTGGAATAATTTCCTAAGGATTCTAAATATAATGTTGATTTCATTTACTTCTAAAGGCAACACTGACTGCGCTGTGGTTTTACTAAATAAAAATTTAAAAAGTAAACTTTCGTTCAGTAACTAATTTTTTTTGCAATATCATATTGTGATTATTTTATAACAATAACCAGATGTATCGAAACCAGGATTATTCGAAAACCAATACTTTCCCTCAGAGATAGCTAATGACTATTGTGTTGCGTTTAAAGTAGCCAGGAGAAAACAAGCTAAACTAATTGCTTTCAGTACAACTACTTACGTAGTCTTAGTTCTTTTTAAAGTAATTGATTTCGCAGATGAAATTTATTCAATCTGATGTTACTTTCGTTATTTCGAGCAGGTCAGTAAAGAAACGGAATTTTAAGCGCTGGAGCCACTTTGTCTCGGAAAGAGAAAAAGGAACTGAGTGATATATTTCACTTCGTTTTCATCATAATAGCTCCTGCGTTAAAGTATAGTGACCGAAAGGTCTTTTGTTTTCCTATTTAATCTTGGGCATGGAGCTTTCTCATATATGTGATTTGTCTATAAGTTAATCGCAACTAAAGAAATGTATTTATTTATGTTTCATAAATTCACAGTTCATATATCGGTGTTTGCAGCGATATATCAATATAAATCCACATAATCAACATTTATCAACATAAATGTGTTGATCGCATTTATTTCTATTTTGGAGCATTTACTGACCATTTCCGAAATGAACAGTTCGTTCGTTCTTTTCGATATCCGTACGTCCAGCACACCAACAAAGTGTAACTTATTGATGCGAAGCATTATATGAGACACATATCATTACAATCCTTGATTTAGCCATTTTGAATTGATTTGTCTGCATTATGAACTTTAGAGAAACTTGAATTCAAGTAGTTGTTTGAAGAAGAAGAGCAAATTTTAAAAAAAATACATAGGAATGTTACAAGCCATTGGTGGTTTATTATTAAGTTGAGGAATTCGATCTAGAGATCAATTGTGCTCCTTTTATAATTACTGAGTCAATTTTCTTTTTAATGTTTTTCTAAACAAGTTTTTGTTTTAAATCTTTTTAAAAATTATTTCAAAATAAAAAAAATGTTAGCAGTTAAGATTTCAACAAATGAAATTGTTGCAAATTAGTAACAATAAAGTATATAGAGCTATTTTTTTATAATTACACTAGTAAATGTACTTTTAACTGCTTCAGTAGCGAAGAGGCTGTCTCACTATGTTAATGCAATTTGCATAAAAAGTAGTACGAATACAGTGCAGTACAATATATAAAAAAGTACCAAATATATTAATCTCATATAATGAACTATAACAGCTACAAACGGAAATATATATTGTAGAAAAATAGTATGCTTTTTAGAAAACTAAAATAAACGCTAAGCGCACAATATAGCAAACAATATAGTTTAAAACATTACTATGATATAACCGGATATTGCAAATCAAATTCCAAAGTCGTTTATTAATTTCAGAAATTGTCTAAACTGTACAGTTAGAGATACTATATGTATGTATATGTACATTTATGTTTTAGAACTTTTCATTTGTAGTATGTGTGTTTTTTTGTAAATTTCAATAAAACATTCTACAACAAAACACAATTTTCTCAAAACTAAATAAAATTCATTTACATTTAGAATTTAAAAAAAAATTAAATAAATTCGTCAATCTTTTTGAAAATCATTAACATTTTGTAAAATAAATCCAATAAAACAAATACCTTCTATCATAAATCATTATAATAACAAACAACAACAAATAAAGCACGCTCACAATCGGTCGGTCCTGCCGTAATTGAAAATGTATCTCCAAAACGTCAGATACGTTCAGCAAGCACAGCTCCAGCTACTAAGGGAATTGGTAAAAAGGCAACGATAGCGCCAACAGCGCCAACAACAACAACAACCTCAGCGACCACAGGAATTACTATAACAAGTGCTGAGCGTAAGCCTCGTCCATGTAAGTAAAGTTGTTGCAAAATTCATGAAAAATGTTGCTAACAAGAAAAAAGTTCTTGCCGTTTTCAATTTCATAAACTAAAAGCATTTTTATTTGAATTTTTAGTTTAAAATTTATAAAATATTTATTTTTAATTTATACATTTTTCATTATGTTTGATTTATTACTTTTAGTCTTGGATATATCAAACTATTTAAAATATTTTATTAAAATTTTATTACGACAGTCTTGTAAAAATCTGTTAATTAATGTTAATTGAATAAATAGTTTAGCATTATACTTCTTTCTGTAAGTGATAGTGAATATTTGTTGATAGCTAAGATGTTTGTGTATTATTATTCTAAACTCTGACATCATATAAGATGGTAAATACAATCCTAATCATTAACCAAAAAATTATTCTAATATGCATTTTGTATTAAAACTTTAATAACAGTATTATTATTAGTAAAATTATTTATTTTAATAATTATTATAAACATTGTCTATTAAAATTTTAATTATTTTTAAATACTTTTTTTTATATTGTGTTTTATTTGTTCATTAAGTTTCATTAATATATCTTATATATTACTACAATATATACTATAGCGGACAAAAAAAAACAAAAAAAATAAAAAAAGAGCGTATGTAAACAAAATATAAAGAGAGTTGTATTATTTTTATTTGGATCTTACTTGTTGTGAGTTACTCAAGATAATTTTGTTTAAGGACAATATATTCTATATTACATACAACGCATTACCTATTTTTTAATTTCCTCCAATCAATAAGTTTTGACATCTTCAAGAAAAACATTTTTTGTTATTGTATCTAAGAGAGAGAGAGAGAGGAAGAGGGAGAGAGAGGGAGAGAGAGGGAGAGAGAGGGAGAGAGAGAGAGAGAGAGAGAGATACAGGGTATCTTAGAGATAAATTCCACTGAATTTGGAAATATGAAGGATGTGATGAATGAGAAAGCTTAAAGTACCCTTTTTAATAACTATAGTATTCTATCTTTTAATTATCATTGGACTGGCTTCACCTTTCAAAGATAACGGAAGTGAATCATCCCATATCATCCCATCCTACAGCCCATCTTATGCTCATAAGCATAAATAATAGAAGAAACATTCAAAGTTTAGGCTTCTATTTTGTTAACGGTTAGTTGGGATTTATAACGATTGCAGCTAGTATTAGGTTGAATTGCGATCAGTGGTATTAATAAATGCAATCATGTTGTTTTGAACCCAGTACTGCCACATTTAATTACTTACGGCAATTATAAAATACTTTACGTAATTAACTATTTCATTATCATTATTTCAAAAAAAAAAGTTATCAATTTTTTGCTACGTATTAACTGTAAGCATTTATGTGCATTGGGTTTTTTTTCAATTGCTATATTCAAAGAAGTTATATACACTATTTTTGGTATTATAATAAAAACGTAAATAGCCAGTTTAAATATAACATATCCATATAAATCAAAGAATCGGTTAATTGTTTTTGTATGGAAGATTAAAGTCAACTAGATATTGCTGTAAAGAACTGGTGAAATCGATTGAGCTTTGAATATAACTGATATATAAATAGATTCTTTAGCCACTTCAATTGATTTAATTACTACTAGCTACACTATATATATAATCAAATTATGTATTGCTATAAAAACTAATTGAACTGCAATAAGGATTGTTGTCATAAGTCAAAATAAATGAGAAACTGCTACTGGTTGTTTTAATTAAAAACTAGAAAAAATTTAGTTTCACTTCGTTGAACTGATATTTCCAAATAAAGCTCTAGTTTATAAGCTCATTCTAATTTAAAGCACGGCAAATGCTTTGGTTAGTGTCACTTAAAAAATAAGAAATGAAAAAAAACTTGGAACTTGGGCATTGAAAATCTGTGTTGTCTTGGGTACTTGTGAAAAAACGCGATTAGTTATCGCTTCTAATTTGATAGACACGAGTTTCAAACATTCCGAACAAATTATATACGGACTACAAACAAATGAAAAATATGAATATTTCCTAAGACCACCGATGATAAGTACTTGGCAATACTCGAAACAGCGTTCTTTGGTTAGCCAAATTTCACTTAAACTAACTAAAATTTTTGTTGTTGTCCTTTCATTTCTATTTCGAACCCTTCTAACTTTTAAATATTTTCTTTTCGTCATAAGACGCGTCACTTTCAGCAAGAAAAAAATTAACATTAAAAAATACGTTATTCTGGTATCTGATGTATTATAATTGATAAATACCTCAATGACAAATGCTCTTCAAATATTGGTTTAATAATCGACTAATTGGCTCATTTGGTTTACAATCTTTGTTGTCACTCAAGCTTGTACAAGGAAATTCTGTATATCATTTATATTTACCGATGATATTATTGGTATGAAAACTATAGTACTTTTTAAATATTTTTATGATTTGACATATCAAACAGCCAAAATCGTACTTTTTATTTTTTTTTTTAAATTTGGAGTGTATTACAAAGTTACATCGTTACACCATTTCCCGTTTTAGTGTAAATCAACCTTTTTATTTTTAAAATATATTGTAACAATAATTTTAAAATTTTTATGTATATATTAGAGCTATAAAAATTTATTTTAAACTATTACATTTTCAATTTTGAATTAAAATTTAATATTTAATCAAATCTTTTTAGTTTAATTTTGTAAATGGCTCTTTTCTATCTTCTCATTTTGTTTTTTTATTTAAGTTAACTTTTTTAATAAAATATGATAGTTTATTAAATATTTTATGAAACATTTCACATTTTTGCCTCTATTAATTAAGACATATTTATTTCGTTTTTAATTTACATCAAATGTTGTTTACATATAGTTAAAAATACCCAAATATTAACCACTGCATATTAAAAATAAAGAATCATATTAATTATTTCTTCCGCAATTTACTTAATTTTTTAAATAAATTTGAAATTCTTAGTCCACTTAAGTGTAAAGTATAAGGTACCTTGTATTTATATAGCTATCATATAAAAATAAACATATTATTATATGTTAACATAACTTCATATTATATTAAAATGACATTGCAGTACAACACTTTTTTTATTATATTTAATTATAATCTGTTTTCAATAAAATGAGAATTACAAATCTAAATATTAATGTAATTTGTTTTAATTGTATTTACCATCTTATATTACTGAAAAATTTGAGTTATTATATTGATTGTATTTATTTAACTGTGGAATTCTTTATATTAGTTGAAATGTAAACATTTTTATCGTAATATATCTTAATATATCATAAAATGAATTTAATGCAATATTTTTATAACATTTTTTTATTTAGAGAAGTTCAGCATGTTTTTAAAAAAACGTAGTTATTCAAGTCAAATATTTTTAATACAATTGACTTACCATATACATATATTAGTGCAAATATTCTTATAGAAAATATTTAAAATTACACTAGAGAAATTTATATTAAAAGATATGTATATACAAAATACCCATATGTGAGTGTTCGTAATTGTTCTTAAATGTTTGAATGAATGTTTTAATAAATGTTTATATAAGTTCTTACAAATATAGTAATGAAATATAGCTAGTTTATAACTTTATAAAATAAATAATTAATCATAAATAAAATCATACCAAAAATACATAATGTAGTTTTTTACAATATTAGCACAGAATCATGAATTTGATCTTAGTCAGTTATGTAGACGAAGATTTATTACAAGAAAAAAAAAATTGGTAATATCCCTCTTATGTTATTCATATGATCATGATAATATATTCAAAAAGGTACATATCCTTCGTCTAAATCTATTGACAAAAAACTTTGATACAGATTTTAATCTGTTTAATAGGTTTCAGTTTTGCATAACTCCAGTACTTATAAATAAGAATAATAATAAACACTGAATTATAGAAGGTGTTTTCAGTTTTCTTTTATTTTATATAAAATTTTTATGAAATTCATTTAGAAATGAATAATTCTTGTAGTTTTATGAAAAGCTTCATATCATGCTTGTTAAATTATCTCGCTTATGTTTTTTGGGATTCATGAGATTCATATGACCTCGAATAATGTACTAGGATATCCATCCTAGAATTTTATACTCCATATAATAACTAAATAGAAATAGTTAACAAAAATAAATCCACGTCAGTCATTTTTGTTTACATAACAAAAGAAACAACGAAAACTTGAAATCTTTGGAAATCAGTAGTCTTTTGTTCCTACTAGACGTAAGAATAAAGTTGTCAAATATGTCTGTAGAATACTTAGAGGAAAACGTCAGGTTTTTTGGTCTGCAGGGATTTATATTAAGTGGCTTTTGCGAAACTTCTTGAATATCTATATCTAACAATATATTGGATTTAGTATCTGTTATCTAACATGATTTTGTTATACTCGTATACGAAGTCATTTCATCTACTTTGCGAATGCTGATATTTATCTGAAATTCCATAGGTCAAAATCTCATTATGAATCTAAAATAAATGGACTTGTTTGCTCTTATTAGGCGTACCATTGCACTTCTTAACAATTAACAATCTTAATTTAATGGATTTATATGCTTTTCTATAGTGAGAAAAATCGTAATTCTTGTATTTGGTATCAATTTAAAATTTTCATGACCTTTTGTTGGATAGATTATGGCTTTTACTTTGAAACGGTGACTTTCAATTTTAGCTTTGTGAATAAAAATTTAAGTTTTAATTAATTGTATTTCAAAGGAGTTTTGTCGTAATAGTATTTATTAATTAGTAACTGTAGTAGTTCATAAATTCTTAAATTTTATGCCCTTGGTAACTTTCATTATATTGCAATATTAGTAGCTATTTTTTTATCTAAGGTTGCGCATACTATATTCAAGTTAATTGTAATACAGATTTCTTTAACTAAATTACTAAAATCACTTGAGAAAAGTATTTTTATTTCTACAATTATATTGAAGTTGTTTTCAGTAAAGTTGATTCTGATAATTAGCATACTCGTATATAGAGGAACATATTTCATTTGAAGTAGTTAGTGATTTAAACTTGTAGTTTCGTTTAAATGATTTGATTCGTCAAAACTTAAAGAAATAATATTAATTTTTAAGACTGGTTCTCTTTCTCTTCAACTATTATTTGTAGTAACTGTTATTTATTTTATTATTATAATTATTTCGTAATTATTTCGTAATTATTTATCATTGATATCATTTCTTTTCACAATAATTATTACACAAAATATAAGAAAATAATAAAAAGAATTTATTATTAAAATAAGGATAATATTTTTGTTGTAGTAAACGGTAAAATAATTTTAAAAAATAATTTAATTTTTTTTTTTTTAATTACTTATGTTCTTATAGCAACCCTATCCACTACATTCCATTCCCGTACGAAAAGTAGTTCCTTACCTCCTAGCGGTAGAGCTCATATAAGTACAGTTCCTGCTACAAATCAACTTCATCCAAATCAATCACAATCATCACAAACAAATGAAATCTGTAGAAAATCGCCGCAACCGTTATACATGCGTAAAAAAGATAAAGATAAATCGAATTTGTTAAGTAGTATTAGTGGTAGTGGTAGTAGCAGCTTAAATAAGTTAACAAAACCACGACCAAAAACTACTATTGGCAGCGCAGCAACCACAACTGCAACTGCAACAACAAATATTGGTAATGGTGGTGGTGGTGAGACTGGTAGTACACCATTGGTAGATGGTGACCCAGAGATGACTATTAAGCGTTTAGCAGTTCCAGGTCAGGATAATAAATTGGCTGAAAGTGAGTAGAGTTGTACCTCAACTGTTGGTTTAATTGTAGACGAAACAAATTCTACACTAAATTTTAATACATTTTTAACTGTTACATGTTCTCTATTTTTTGTTTTTTTTTTAGTAGTAATTCTTCACATAATTCTCTTTTTAAGTTTTTATTAAATTTCCGTGTTGCAAATTGTAAATAAACTATTTAAATAAAATCACACTAATAAAAATAATTTCAAAGTTTGTAAATTAGTTTTAAGTAGAAACTGTAACATTTATAATCAAACAGAATCAAGATCTATTAATAGAAATATTTTTAATATTACGTGGAATATATTATAAATTTTACATAATTTTTTTATTGTAACATTTAATATTAATGTTAATTTAATGCAACATTATATTAATTTTAAAAATTTTTTAATTTTCATAAAAATATTCAATGATTATATTTTGTTTAAAATTTAATTCTTAATCTTATTTTAATGTAATTTATTTTTTAAAAGAAATTTTTTTTATTGATATATTTTTAAAAGTATATAGATCTAAAAACTGCTACAAGTTATGCTCAGTATAACGTATTTATTTTATAATACATCTCTAGACACCGAAAATCAATAAATCTGTATAGTAGTAAATCTCAAATTTTTAATATATAGTTTATTATGCTGATAATTTTGCATTATTAACTTAAATAATAATAAAAAAAAATGGTACTGTATTCTTGAAAACCACTTTAAATCTTATATTATGAAAACATTTATTTAAAAAAATCTGCTATATCTGGCAGAAAGAGATTCAATGTATTTTAAGTGATGTAAAATCGTAAAATCTCCTCCTAGTATACCTCACCAATGCGATTATAGAATGCTTTTATATAAAAATATTACATGATTGCAAAACTCTTATTATATATACATACCATACATTGAAATTTGAGAAATTGGATTGCACTACATATTTACCCGATAAGAATAAAGATTCTAATTAATGGAATAAGGAATAAACTGCCTAAGCTGTTTCTAATAATTCTAATAATTCTATTGCTAATACGATTATTGCATTACTAAACCATTATGTATATATTCTAGAATAGAAAGACCCCTAGTTACAACCATCAAGATGTTATAAACTCAGATCCAAAAATAATATTATGTAGTAATTATTACTATTTATGACTGCTTATGTCGAGGTGTTACCTATTATTACTTAGATTTTTTTAAATCTGAATGCATATATTATTTATACCAATTTGATACATACTTAAGTTAAATAAACTTTATATAGTCATATAGTTTCTGTTAAGTAATGGTTTAAAGGAAACATAAAATGTCACATATTATACAAGCTATCGATGGTCGTTTGGTTTTGCCATGTCATCAAAGCAGTATCTTTAGTTTTTAACTAATTTAGTTAAGTTCAGCAAGTTTAGTTTAATCTTTTGTAAAAAAAATCATTCAAGAATTGATGAAAGTAATTGATTATATGACTAAATATATTCCTATACAAAATAAATGGTATTTTTAATATATATATATTGAATTTTAAATTTGTAAGGAAGTAAGGAAGTAGTAGTGTTTAGCCTAAAAGTAAATAACTAGTAATTAATGTAAATATGATACCATTATAACTGCATATAAAAAGTACTAAAGTTTCCATATATAAATAATTCCTATATACTAACTACCTACTTTAGATGAATAAATAAAGAAAAATATTAATGGAAAAAATTATAAAGAGTTTTTCGAAAAGTAGTGAACTACAACAAAAATTCTTTTTTATATTATTTTAATTAATTGAATAATTTTTTGAGACTGCAAAGTTATAATAATTATAAGTTATTAAAAATTTTAATTTGTATTTTTTATTTTAATGAAGAATTTATTTTCTTTATGTTTATTTAATAATTTTATTTAGTTCATTTTTAATGAACTAATTAATTTAAACAAGCACATATTATTTTTTTAATTGTTTTAAAATGTTTAAGTAATGTTTTACAGATTTTATAAAGAAAATTTAAAATGGAGTATTAAACTTCTACTAAAATGAATTCCACTTAATATTAAAAATAAATAAACAATATAATTAAATGTGCTCGTTGTTGTTGTTACATACTTATTTCAATAATATAATTTATTTTATATTTTATTAATAACTTAAACTTATAAAAAAAAATGAATTAAAAAATACTACTGTAATAGATATTTAGTTGAGTTATGTGTTTTTATAAATGTTGTGAAATTTAATTTTTTGTCAATGTATTTCTGAACTATATAAAACAGTATGTTTAATTTTTCTATGACTGTTGCTGCCTTTCTATACTCCTTTAAATATTTTATATTAACTTAAACTACTTTTATAAAACTAAATATTATTTGTAATAAAACAACACAAATATACATACTGGCCGTATAATTTACAAACATAATTATTTAAATTTTTATATTTAATATAAAAAAATTATCCAAGAAACCATATAAGTTATTTATTTTATACAAAACATCATGTGGTAATGTGATACAAGTTAATAAAAATTCAAATTTATACTATATGTCCCAATACTATATGTTACTAATAGCATATGAATTAATCATTGTACATTCATAAATTATTTCTCAATAAATATTAAATTGGAATTCAACGAATATATCATTAAACAAAATTTCAGTTCAATTAATTCATATAAAATAAAATGTTACCATTAAAATCATTATTACTTCAAGGGACCTTTAGACATAGTACATAGAATATTTTATTCAAAAATAAGTTACTGATTCGATCAAATGAAACTGTGCATCAAGAATATATATATAGCAAATAATTTTTGCAGTTTTTATAATTATTTCTTACATTCCATTTTAGTACATTCTAATGCTCATCATTATTTTCTACTTCCATCTGAAATTTCCAACTTTTCCCAATCAAAAAAAGATATTTTTAGCTATCTGGTATAGAGTGTATTACCAACTACTCGTCCTTTGCTTAATGATAATGATTCGTGATCATATTTTTTAGTGATTTAATTTGGATCAGATGAATCTTGGTATTACTGCGAAAATATTGTTTTAGCGAAACTAAAAGCATCATTGTGTACTAATATCACAATGCTATTGATATGCATTGTTAATCTAACTTTTCATTTGAGTGAACCTAATTATGTCTAAAGTACTATTTTTTCTTATATTAATAAAGTAACCATGTGAGTATTATGCATAGGATGTTTCATTTTGCTATAGGTTCATAGTTCAATATTGAACATGAAAAAATTGTCATTTGTACCCAGCTTACCAGCTTAATATGTTTAATGCTTTTAAATGCCCAGTTTGATACCTTAAGATGTTTTATCATGGTTTTAAGGTTTCCACAGAAATGTAACTAAACCTGGGAACTTATCGTTCTCCAGGAAACTTGTTATTGTTTTTCTTGCAGCAATAATTTATATCCAGTTGATCAGATTGAAATATACAAAATAATTTGCTAATCAATTTCTTCTATAATTTGAAGATAGTATATTATTTAAAATAGATTCAGATAAATAAGGCGAGATTTATTTAAACATTACATGTATAGATCACTTAATATATCAGTTATTAGTTAAGTTTTTTGTTTTATAAATTTAGAAATTGTTGCCTTTAATAAAGATTTACTCCTGTAGTATATGCAGTCAAGCTTATAGACTAAATTATATCGATTAAAAAGCATCATATTATTAGCTTTTATTCCTCTCCTTTATTAAGTAATAATCTATACTAATATATTTAACATTTAAATTCACCTTTTGTTTATAGTCTTAACTTGACGAAGGCTTGGTTTTTCCTATAATTATTTTATTTGTAAGGTTCGAATAGATTTTCAACGAGCTTGAGTTAATAGGTAAAAAAAGGTAGATGACATATATTTTTTTTTTGTAGTTATAATCGAGTACAACATATCGTATATCTTTGAGTATAATAATTTTTTTTCGACATTTCTAATAATGTATCCTTTAAATAATCAATAATAAATCTGAAATTTTATTCCTTAAATTTCATATCACTTGTGGCAAGCAAACTTGCTTTAGGATAAGTTATGAAAAAAAACAATGTTAAGCAATATTTTAAAATCGAATTGGTGTAGTTCTTGTAAAGCAATGGAGAGTCTAACATTAATTCATCATAATTAAATATAAGATCATAACTCATAATTCATATATTCTCGCAAGAAACCTGACTTATTTGAGCTCTGATCGACTTGTCATGTTCTATACTTCTTCTCGTAAGTCCGATATGATGTCTTTATATTATTGCAAATATATTGTAAATGGCACAATATAAGAAAGAAAAATTAATATTATATGTTAAAAATACCACACGTCTTAAGCTTTACCAGAGCTGATATGTGTATGAACATTTCTCACAGAAAACATGATTGGATGAGCTAATGCAAACTTCATTACCGATCATTACCTAAAATGATATTTATTTATTTCTTCTTTATCACAGCTACACCTGCTCTTAATTTTGGTCAAAATTTCTAACTCTCACGGAAGCTATAAACTAATCGTTTATACTAACTATACGATATTATTTTATTCGCTGTCTCTTTTCGCTATTTTTGGTTCTCTTTTCTATTAAACAATACTACACTGACAAAAACAAATAAAAAATCAAAATTATTTTCTAATTAAAAATTAATTGCATGAATGATTTTGTATATCTGGTTTGCTCTGATTATATAATTTTTTAATCTATATTACTTCTTATTATTATAGCTTCTAAAGCTTACATTTGTATTGCCTTTTTAAGTTTTTTGGTTTTTCTTCAGATTTATTTTTAAATTGACACTGATTTTTCAATAAGTTTTTTTATAATTTGGTTATTGACAAACAGTAAATTTAAAACATAAATTTATGAATTTATGCTTCAGTTAAACTAAACCGTCCAAAACTAAAGCCTCTAGCTATACGTTCTTCCAAATTGAGCTAATAAAATTTAATTATTATACCAAATATGTGTTACTAATGTATATATTGCAATTGTTTGCAAATTTTATTTTCTTTCTATTAGATGACGCTGAAGATGGGCGTGAAACAGCTATTTCCGTCTCCAGCTGCAGTCCACATCCTGCAGCTGAGTTGCACGATGAACCAATTGTTAAGTCACCACCAGAGCCTACACGTGTTAAATCGCCCGAACAAATAATAATGCGCTCTCCAGACCCAGTTAACTGGACTGTGCCATTGGATACAGGGAAAACATTTACCGTTACACAAAATGTCAAAGAGGGTACTATTTCATATATATAAGAATAATTAAAAATTATATATAAATATTATTATTTAACTCTTTATAGGTGAAAACTATAGCCGACCACAAAGTGAAATAAAAGCTTCGACACCAGTTGAAAAGCCACCACCACCACCACAGTCGGCGCCACCAGAATTAACCGAACAGGTTAAAATGGATGGTAAGCTTTAAGAACGCTTCAAAATTCCATTAAAATAAACCAAAAAACAAGCTTTTTAAAAAATTCGCTACTCATCATCACATCAGTTAATAAAAATTAACAAATTAACAAATTAAATCAAAAATACAAGATACCAAAGAAAGCCTTTCGTAACACTTTCAAAACTTTCCCCCCTTTTGCGAGCACAGCCTGGAAAAATGCCGATCTAACTGATCCGAAATCGTCGTTGAGCAGCTCTAGTCCAACTTCTGCCATTGGCAAAGTAATTACAACAAAGCAGCCAACTGCCGGCGCTGGTGGTTTGCCGCCACCACCACCACCGCCTACAACAACTGCAACAACAACAATTATTGAAAACCCAGTACAAGGTTCAAAATTACGTTGTCTCGATGATCCAATATTTGATGTGGATGCTAATGTTGGTATCGGTACCGTTGGTGCTGGTATCACTACATTGCCATCCTCATCGAATCCGAATCCGAATACGAATCCAAGCAATACAACAACGACTGCTCGCAGCACTGCTAGCGATGTTTTGGAAAAGGCTCGTGACCGTTTCGATCGCTTTTGGGGTGGTAACAAAGAGGATAAAGTTTAAGCAATTAATATTTGAAATTTTTATACTAATCTTACAGGTATTTAGTCGAAATCATTATAAATACGATTACCAAGATTACGCCTACTAATTGACACTAAACACTAGAAACACTTATCGAACACCAAAACTCAAGAAATGCAAACACAAAACCACAGTTCAAGCAAATATAATACTGAAAAATGTAAGCAATGATTACAGCCATTATTAATTAATTATTAATTAAAACAGTAAGTAATTAAGTTTTAAACTCAAAACTCTTTACTAAATACTAAGAAACAGTAAATTAAATATAAATTCTAAGATATAATTCAAATAAATGAAATACATATAACTGAAGACGCGATAGCGCTACTAATAAACAGGGTAGCCGCAACTAAAATTAAATTCTAATAATTTGTTTAAATAAATAATCATAAATAATTAATTTATAATAACAATTAAATCAATTTAAATGATTATATTCTTTTTCAATAAAATTTAGTATAGATAGAAAAGCATGGGCTATCGTTTAGGATCTCAGGGCAGTTTAGAAAATACTTCATTAAGCTTCATTAATAAAAATTTAATTTCTCACAGAAAATGTTTCAGGTTATATTAAAAGTTTATATAAAACAATAAATTATTTACTTTTGTTACTGAGTACAAATTTACCATAAATCACTACAGTAGAATATTATTCTTTTTTCTATTTATCGAAGCACTTATTATAGCTTGGTTGCATCATTCGGCGGATGAAGGTTTTATATTAAACCATATGTACTATATAATGTTGGTTTGTACAAGTGTACATAAATGCAAGAAATCGTTCACTTTTCTGGCTTTATTATTTTAATTCAATGCAAATATTGCACAGTCTAGTATGGATTGGACCCAATGAGTGCAGTGATATGCAACTTAAAAAGAAACATTTTTAAAATGTTGATGAGTAAATAAATAAATTTTATTATAAGTGGATGGTGTAGAAATCTAACAAAATATGGTTCAACATAAAATTATGTGTTAGAAATAAATTAAAAATTGTATTCAGTTTACT